TCACTCTAAAATTTCACCTTTAGCATCTGAACAACTGAGTTTACTGTAGCTTCAGGCATAGGCTGTCTATCTGCAAACCAATTGATATTCAGCATCACACTTCAACTGGAGCACAGCTCAGGGTGCTCTGCAGCAGCAGGAGGGGAGGGAGGCAAGTGGGGAGGAGAAGGAAAGGAAATAAAATTAAAAACAAAACAAAAGTAACTCAGCTTGAATTCAGAGATGAGAAGGATGCAGTTAGATGCTTATTATTGTTTATCCATACTACGATACTGCCTAAGTTCTCTAGCGATTGAGGTTTCCACTGTGCCAGGCAGGATACCAAAAATTATTCCTGCCCTCGAAGAAACTCCATCCTAAATTTAAGGCAGGAGAGCAGCAGAGGATCCAGACAGGCAGAGGAGTGCCATGAGACAGTAAGGCAGTATCGATCAGCAATATAACCAGAGGTCTCAGCAAACCTCCTCCTGCAACCTCTGCAATGCATCTAGTTTACCGCCATTATCATTGCAATTAATATTTCTTTTTTTGCAACACAAGGTTAATTATCTAACCATATGGGTTACCTACTCTTCATCTCATTTGTTGTGCTGTTTAGCAGTAAAAATCTGCAGCAATTTTGTATTATAAAGAAACAATTAACAGCAAAATTTTTTTCCACTAAACTTCATAGGAGTTTTTGCCAGGGACAACAGTGCCTCCATACCTTAATTCCTCAGCAAAGTTTCTATTCTAGGCCATGTTCTGAAACTGGTGAGCTGACTTGGCATTGCACACACTGTTATGTCATCAAGCAAAGGTTCTGATTCAGAACAAGAAGTGAAGGTAGAATATGTATTCCTTGCTTAACTGTGTGTTGACAAGCTTGCTAGAAGATTTTTCATTTACTATGTTTGTGAGTGTATAGTATTTAAGGTAATTTAGTTAAAACTTAGAAGTAAATCCAAAAAAGCAAGAAACAGAGCTTTGGAGAATGGCAGGTATGGAAACCATACAAACCCTTGCTATAAACCCCATGCTACCACCTCTGAAGCCAGTAAGGGAGATTGCACCTGCTTTTGTTTCATACCATTCATTTCTTGTTATAACACACCTAGGTTTTGTTGTTATTGCCCAAAAGTGGCAACTCCATGTTGAAAAGGACTAAGAGGCCTACCATGACTATCCCACTATTGATCCTTCAGAGAATTTGGTCCAGGATGTATAGCTTTTATTAAATAATATAAATACTTAACAAGTGAAGTCTATATTGTCCTTTCATTTTGCAATATAGATATTACTATTTAAAAAAATGACAAACCTGTGCCTGATGAGTTTTTGTTTTAAGGAGCTATTCTATTATTCTAATATGGCCACCATGCTGGCAGACTTTTGGCAGGTTTCAAATAAACATGCCAGAAATAATTTTGTTGACAGCATCTTGTATTGGAACACATCCAACCTTCATTCATAACATGTTAGCACAGTGATTCTTTCACAGGCAGGAAAACATGTCATCACAGATCTGTATTTTAGAGTCTTAAAATAATGTAGGTGTCTGAATTTATGGCTTCAAAGTCAACTTCACAGGTGGGTAACGTTATTTTTCAATCATAAATGAAGATGGAAGTGATAACATTTACAGTTTTTAATATGCAGCATCAGTGAAGTGTGCTTGTGTTAAAACCTGTGGTAACATCTGTTTTACTTTCCTAATCCAAAATCAATTAAGGTTTTATGTAAGAGGAAGAAGGGGATGGAAACCAAACAGCAAAGGAAAAAAGGAGAAAAGACAGGCTGAAGGGCTTTAGCTTGCTTGCAGAGGTCATACAGGCATTGTGCTAGTTCTTCATGAGAAGCAGAGTAGGTGACTCCTACCAGTGAGTGACTTTATTTTAATGTTTTCCTTTTATACTGTTTCCAGTAGAATCATTTCACCAGAGCAGAAATTGTGCATGCTTGGTTTATTTCCATTTATGTAATATGTGCAGATTTCAGTATTAAAATCAAAGTGGTATCTTTAGGATTAGCAGCCATGGTTCACGAGGGGTATCTGCTTGCTGGTTGGTTTAGATCTCTGTGATTACATCTGCAAGCCGGGATCTTTCAGGAATGGGCAAATTACAGCTTTGTGCTGTGCATTGGAAACAAACCCTTTGAGGTGCCACTTCAAGAACATTATTTGTGTGCTTGGATCTGTACCTGCCTAGGGCTTAATTAAACACCTTCCTGGCTTCGGTCCCAAGCAGAGAGGCTTTCCTGAGCAGTGTGAAAAGGCAGCTGATGTCCCCTTGTGGGAGCTCCTGTGGAAGGGTGGGAGTTTTCTGCCAAGGGCATGGGGTATCATGGACCGGTGGTGAAGCTGTAACCTCCTGGAAGTAAAATCTTGTCACAGTGACACAGCAACGTCTCTCTGGAATTAACAGAAATACAGATAGGAAAGATCTAAGGCAGTGGTGCTATCATTTATATGGTACGATGTGTGTGCAGCAGTTTTACTGTGAGTGATTCCATCAAAAGAAACTTCAAATGACTGAGAAGAACAAAAAAGCTGCTTTCCAAACCTGTGCTGAATAAAGCTTACCTTTCTTTGAAATATCATTTATGTCTTCTTGCTTTTTATCAGGGAAACTTTCCTGATGGAATTTGAAAATAAAGTGACATTTTTCCTTTCTGCTTCCTTGCAGTGTATTAAACCCTGGAGTTTTATTTATGAATAGTTTTCATCCTCCTGATACACTAAAAATTCCCAGTCTTTTTTGATGTGATTTTGCTCAAATATTGATTGGATGACTAAAAAATTAATGGGATTATGATGTGATAATGGATTCAGTGGAAGTATTGATATCCTGAAACCTTAAGCACATGTGTGGATTTCTATCACACTGGGACTCGTGGATAGGGAAACCTCACTTAATGCAAGGTTTTATTAAGCTTTTGAACTACATCTGGGTTAGTAGATCTAATTCAAGTCTGCAAACTATTTTTTTCATTTTTAAAGATTTTGACCATTTGGTGGGGAGAGGGTTGTTAGATCATTTTCAGGAATGTGACGGTTGCCACCAGTCCTGTACTGCTGCCTGCATTTTACCTCTGTCCTTACACATTGTTAGGGCTTAGATGGTTTCTCAGCTGCTTCTCACCAGTTCTCCTGTCATCACTCTAGGTCCCACTGTGCCCTGCCGTGAAGAATATTTCTGTCACTTACTAAGAAACCCTGGATTCTTTTCATGGCTTTATTTCTCAATTTGTATGTGGCCCTGGGAAAGTCACAGGCTCTCTTTTGAGCCTATTTGCATCACCTGAAAAATGGGGACCATAACTATTTCATAAAAAAGGTGTTAGAAGACTAAATTAATTAATATTTTTATTTGTGCTTAGGGTAAAGATGCTATAAAAATACAACTGTTTATATTCTTTCTGTTTGCTTGTTGGCAAAATTGCATTTCTCAGGGTTCCTGACCTACTTTTCAGATTTTTCTCCAGTAATAATAAACTATAAATTTGTTCCTCCAATTGTTTTTCATTTTAAATAGAAAACTAAGTGTAAATGAAGGGAGGGCAAGGAGGGGAGCGGGTGCTAACCTCTACCCCTCTTTGCCAGAAGAAAGAGAACCATCATGTCTTTTCCAGAACTAGATTAAACACTGAAATACAGATGCTACCTCAGATATTTAATGCCTCAAACCTGGCTTTCCATTTCAGATTTATAACCTTTGTAATGGGCAGATGCCCAAATGTATAGGAAGAGAGTCTCAACATTATCTTTTTCTGTGAAATGGATTCTTAATACGGAAAAAGTCAAAGAATATTTTCCAGTGTTTTCTGAAGTTCAAAACTGTGAGGTTTGCCTGTCCTCCCTGTTCAGGTCATGTTGCTATGTATAAGAAAAGTTACAGTAAGTGAAATTCCCTGAATTGCAGAAAGACTTAGTCTATTATAAAGCTTTTTTTTTTTTTTTTCTGAAAAAAATAATAAAAAAATAGTATTTTAAAGAAGTACCAGCAGGTCTATGTTATACACACCATGCCTCATAATAAAGGAAATGAGGCAAAAATTCTAAACTGGTGAGGTCAATAAGGAAGAGGAGCATCCAGAGTTGCTCTGGCTGTGAGGCCAGATCCCTTGGGCAAATTCAGTCTTCCAGGAAAGTGGAGTGCACTGATATTTCATACAATTCCTGTGGATGTTTCAATGTGAGCATGAAATCACATTTAATGCACAGTGCTAAGGGGAATCCAGCAAAAAGCATTAAAGAGATAAAGTGCAATAAATATTGACGATCTTGTGAATTTAGACACAGCACTTCATAAAACCCTCAGTCTCAAGAGCAGGGGTGCCTTATACGTTGTAGACAGAACATATGGTACAACCACAGTGAAGTCAAAGCTAATCGGGGAATAGTGATGGAGCTTTTATTTTAAAGTTTTAAGGATGTGATTAAATTTAATGTATATGTTAGAGGTGGATCTTGTCTTCATGTCCTTTGTCCTACCAACCTAGAAATGCATGCAAGGTGGCCTGAGGGGATGTAATGTTTTCTGGGAAGGCAGAAAAGTTCACCATGGGGATATCCTTATTGATTTCTATCTCCATACATGCCCCTGTGAATTATTTATCTTCCCGTATTCTTCTCTGACATCTTATTATAAAGTCTCTTGAAAGTTACTGTAAAGCTCTTTATTCCCAGACTTAATGAGGGTTGGTAGGAAATGGGCTTTTGATAGGTGAGTTTGGATGAGTTGGTGCTGGCGGCTGGTGCCTGTGTGCAAGAGGGTGGTGGGAAGTGTGGGTTACACCACCGAGCATCCTATGGGTGCATTGCATTTATTCACTGTGTAATATGAGCTGGGGTGGATTCAATTAGTACCATGAGTCTTATTTGGCTTACAGCCTTCACCCACCCTGGACGCAGGGTGCACGGTGTAGTTCTGCAGGCATATGTTGCTGTTTGGATTTTGCTGCTTGTTTCCTTGACTAAGTACCTTTTCTAAATGTTCACTTTCCTTTGATGTTTCTAGGAGCTGGTGGGGAGTAACCCTCCTCAAAGAAACTGGAAAGGAATTGCAATTGCCTTACTTGTTATTCTCGTTATCTGCTCCCTGATTGTCACCTCTGTTATACTCCTGACACCAGGTATTTATAACTTTTAACTCACTTCCATTCTGTTTTAATTCTATAATTTTACACTTCCAAGGGCAAAAGGATTGCAAATTGACTGCAAAGTCAACATCAAAGGAATCATCCTTCCTATTCTTTATCTTGATGTGATGCTGAGTTCAAGGCCTTTCTTAGGTAGACTGTTTTAGAGTTTTTATTTCAAAGATCAGGGCTGTTGAGCTGAAGGTATGTGAATCTTGGTTGCCTAAACATACATAGGGAGTGTCATTTTATATGAGAGACATCTACATAGGGTGCTCAGTTAGGACACAGGACTTCCTGAAGTTTATGCCGACATGGAAGAGCAGCCGCCAGTTGGGTGGCATATCCTAGACCATCTAAAATGGCGTTAGATGCCTATGCTTAGGCACCTAAATCCCATCCCGTTCAGCTGGATTGATTTTTAGATTAGACCATAGTGTTTCAGCTTTACAAAGCAATTGCAGATAACTATGTGCCAGGTAACACTTAACCACAGCAAGTAATTAGTAACTTCCCAATAAGGGATTCTTTAAGTTAATCCCTTTACCAAGTTTCAGCAAAGTTCTGTGCACGTAGCCTCTGTAAATTACTTTTCTTACAGTAGCTGCTGAGGTTGTAGGCTTGAATTTTAATGTGGTATCATTATGATTATTGATTATTACATATTTATACAGCCCTGTAAATTTCCATGCCTACTTACAGACTAGAAATAATGTGCTTTTGCAGCTCTGGGAAGATTGTGGTCTGAATACTAAAAGACAAACAAATGAGACAAGACATAGAAAAGAGAATTCAGAATCAGAAAGGGTGAGGAGCTACCAAACACAGGAGAAGGCATACAGTCCCCTGCAGAAGGACATAGAGAAGAAAGGGGCTTCTTCTTAGATGAGTACATGTGAGTGATTCTAGGGGACAGCAGGACAGAGAGCACTTGAGCTGAGGAGCGGAATGGAGGCAAGGGAGAAATGAAACCATCAGAAATGGAAAGTCACGGGATGGTGAAGTAGAAAAAGAAGGTGGAAGTTGTGTGGCAGAAGTTTCTAGCTCTGTGTGTGAACTGACATGCAGTTCAGCAGATCTGAGTCATCTTCCCTGACACCATTCTTAACCCACAGTTCTGCTGTATGGTAGACTGGAGACAGTGATAAATCAAGATTTACTGGACTGCACTGGTTTAATTTGGAAATGAGTAAAGCAATCGCTGCGTTATCCTTTTGGTTATTTATCGTCATGCTATATTCAGTTTATTTCATGAAGTTTTCAGTGTGCATGTAAGTAGCACAGGGTCATGACAGAGTAATTAAGTAATTAAATTAATTTAGGCTAAACTTAATTAAGGATCATTTTTTAAATTACTTTTGCTAGGGTTCAGATTTAACACCTTTGGACAGTGCAGTTCATCTGAGATGTTTTGGGGCACGGTCTGTGGATTTTACTCACATCAGGCACCACTTATTTGCAGTGAAAAATATCATCCCTTACCCATTAGGTATGGAAACTTCACCTTCTATTTTACAGAAGTAGAGTCCCAGACTTTTCAAAAATACATGCTGAAGCCTAGATTCCTAAGCCTATACCTGTGAACATCAGAAAGCTGTCAGTTGCTCGCACTGCATAGATGAGACCATGGGTGCCACTTCCATCGAAGACCAGGATTCCATATAGAAGGATACATGGGGAGAAGCATAAGCATACCTGTACAGTCCTAAATACAGCCAAAGTCACAAGTCTTTCCTTTCAATGGACCACATGTAATAGTGATTTCTTTATAAGGATGGTGAGAATGATACCTGGTGGGGATTTAGCAGCTCTGGTTTCAATTCTGGGCTTCACTATAGCCCTCATTTAGGACTTCTCCTAAACCCTACTCCCACTTCTCCATGGAGAAAATCACACGTAAAATCCTCTAATGACTATTATGACTATAGATCCTGCAGTGCTGTTGTCCAGGTAAGTGCCTAGACAGAAAAGGTATACTGAGTACTGAGACCCTGTAGTTAATGTTCTCTAATTTAGGAAGACACAGGTAAATATGGGTTATTATGATGACCTTCTATTTTGCATAGTATGAAGTGGGAATGTGAAACACCCACATTCAATTATAAATAAAACTCACAAGTGTATTTGTGTGTTTATATTTGTAAATGCATACACAAAACCATTATCTGTTTGGGATATGTATGCACACACATGTATACATAAAAATCACAGTTTTTAGTATGTACTTAGCAACAACTCCAAATAGCACCACTGAGAGAGTCTCTGTGCTTAAAACTTACAAATATGCAAAGTCAGTTTCTATGCTAAAGTTTCCATTAATTTTTTATGAGATTTTTAATTGCTTGATTTGCTGGTAAACTGGGGTTGGGTTGTTTTTCTCCCATGCTGGTGTTTCAGAACTGTGTCCTACATGCAACCACAAAAACTCTGAGCTCAGCACTGCCTCTGTTTTTATTATGGATCCAGACAGCTTCATGGCGAGACTCTGCCAAGGGTAAAAAAGGTAGCTTAGGTTGCTGCTGTGGCTTGACAGCAGCCAAGTTCGGTCTTCTTTTGGGCCACTGGCCCTGGAGCTTGTTACGAGGACGCACTGTGGCAGAGGGTAACAGGAGGCTCATTTCACAGACATTTCCCACCAGCTGGTGCTGAGACAGACATTGAGCCTGGTTTGACAAACATAAAAAATATTGCATTGCTAATCCTGACTGAGGATAGCACATCCTAACAAGATAGGACTGGGGAAGATGGAGGAGCCTGTCCAAAAGGAGAAGCAGAGTCTGCATTTCCCTGCCATAAAATAGATCACTGGAAGAAGAAATGTTTATCATTTGGTAGCCAAACGGAAAAATAAATGATAGATATTTGAAAAAGAGGCCAGGAAAGGACAGGAGGACACCAAAACAAGGAGTTGAAGTAGTTTTGTGGATGTTCATGGGGAGCTGCTGCCAAGTCTGAGAGTAATATCAGAAAAAAAAAAAAAAAAAACAAAAACAAAACAAACAAACAAAGAAAACTCCTCCTCACTGGAAATTTCCCAGGTGGGGTGATGCAGTCTGGCATGAGCAGAGCACAATGCTGGAGAATACTTCAAATATTTTTAAATGTTCCTTCTGATGATAGTGTTGGAATCCAACCTGACACTGTCATACTAGTACAAATAACCTTTTGCATTTTACCTCTGAATTCCTTACTTTTTCCTGTCTATCTTGGCCATCTCCCTGACTGGGAAACCTTTCTTCTCTAAGTATTTTGCTGTTGGTTCAAAGGCCTGTTTTGCAGTGCAATACCAAGGCATGCAATGCAGTGATACTCTAAACCCAGTGCTGAACATTATGCAATGCCTACAGGGAGAAACTTGGGACTTACATGAGATAGAGTGCAGCATGCAGTCTTGTAGTCTGTGTTCAGACAAAAGAAGTAGTTAACTGGGCCCATAATTTGCATCATGATGGTGGTATTTCCCAATACTGTGAAAGCTGGTGTAGTCTCCTGCAAAACCAAAAGTAAGTGGTAGAGTGGGGAACAGGGAACGTTTGCTTAGCAGAACAGATAATGATTAAGGTATTTAATAGTTGAGGAAAAAGGGGAATTATATATCTCTTTGAGATTCTTTTGCAAAAAGAAAGAAGGTTTTAACTCTGGATTCAGCTGCAGAAAGTCTGAAATCTCTACTGGTCTGGGTTTCTCAGAGGCAAGTCACTCACCCTACTTTAAGATTAGCTCATAAACTGGGAACAGTGCTCTTTGCATTCAGCAGATATTGTAATTACAATAGCAGTGTTTTATTGCTAGCTAACACTTAGGTCTTATTTATAAAATCCTAATAAAATTTCAACATTTCTGTGATGTGATTTGTATATCCTTTGGTATTCTAGAACAACATTCTCAAAAGAAGCAGTAACTGCTGAAAGCCTGCATTTAATTACACTATAGTACACCTCATGCACACAACTACCTACGCTGAGGGACTCTTATTTCGTGTGTGTGTGAATTCTGCCATCCCACCCACCTTTGAAAAATGTGAAGCTATTTATACAAATGATAAAAGTGTGGGACTGAGCCTTTCCTAATTGATGGTTGCTCACTTGTCACAGCATATGGCACCTATTTGAATCTCATCCTAGCAGTGTTGTTTGCATATTTACATAGATATGCAAAAATTTATAGATATGCATGTATGCTCATGCACACACGCATATCAAAGCTGAAGAGAGGACCCAATCCTACAGAACTTTTGATTAAAAAACCTTCCCCAAATTCAATTAGACATTTTGCCTAGGAAGAGTCTGCTTTCTTGTCCCCTCTGTTTGGAAATGGAGGCAAACAGGGACTTTTTGCACATCTGCTCCTAATATTTAAAGCTTTCTGGAGATATATATCAAGTTTTCTCCTTTCAAATCTGACCATTAGCTGAAAAAAAGAAAGTACACCCAACTCCATATCAAAATTTTTACAAAATTCATAGGAAACATTTTTCAGAGATGGTACTAAGGTAGTCATTGCATAACATTAATGCACAGCATGCTGTCAGAGAGCCAAATGCATTTCCTAGAAAGCTTTGTAAGGCTTTTGCTAGTGAGGAAGAGCAAGGAAATACCCTGTGACCAGCTGTGCAGGAATGACATTTGTTTGTTTAGAGTTGTTATATAGAAATGTGTATTATATGCCATTAAAAAAAAAAAAAAAAAGTGGGATCTTACAGAAGAGAGAAAGGTTGCCTGTTTGCCTTGTCTGGTCACTGCCTTTTGGGTACAGAGAGGTCATCTGGGAGAAAAGAGGGATTAGGTCTGCCCAGGGATTGAGCAGGTATGCTGAGGTGGGAAGGGAGCTCCTGGCGTGCTGTCCACCGAGAGGTGGGCATCCATGGGCACACACTCACCCATGTGCTTGCAATGCATAATAGCCCAGAGTGTGTGAGAAAGGCATCTGGCACTGACTTGTAGCTCAGCCCTAAGGATGACGGAAAGAAAGGTGGGTACCCAAAGGTGACTGAAATCTTCTGAGCCGTGAAGCAGCCTCTGAGTATTGATGGAGTTGAGAGGAAGCTTGAAAGAAAGGATTGGTACTGGAGAGGCAAAACAGGGAGGAGGGCCAGCTCATAGCCCTTTTCTGTTTGAGTTTTCTGGGTTTCTCGAGGATCTTTGTTCTGCTTGTGTTCTGGAGAGGAAGGTTTTATCAGTTCAGCCCATTTCCCTTTGGGTGCACTGACTTCAAGGATGAGGTGCAGACAGATGAACCCGATAGGTCTGACCAACACATGGCTCCTGTCATGCCTTTAACGTTGAATCAAAAACAAAATGGACATGGTTTTCACTTGGTTCTCTCAGCATGTAATTTTGCTCTTTGGATGGTGGGTTTCTGATGTGGCACTCAAATCATAAGTCCTTGTGCCACCTGCACTACTGCCATGCTGCTGTGCTGTCAGGCCCCGGTTGGCAGCTGCCATCTGGGTCTGCTGGGGGGGGGCGACATGACTGCAAAAAAGGTGGTGACACATGCTTGATCCTCTCCTTCCATAAAGCCAAGGAGGCCTCAAGGTTTCTGCAGTTGGTTGTGGACACAGCTTGTGTCTACCAGCTCGCTCAGATGCTCTGAGGCAATGCTCAGAGACTGCTGCTCTGGGCAGGGTGGACAACCTGAGATCCCATTTCTTCTTCCATAAATGTCTCCACTGGGGCCAGAGAAATGGACTAGGCATTCCTAATGAGTGCTCTGACTTACTTATGTCTTAAATGAGAGGTCAGTAAATCTGATTTTTTTACAAAAGTATCACTGATGGGTTAATTAGTTATTTTTTTTTCTCCCTAGCTCTATGGCTGAGATTAATGTTGTCCATGGTTCATTATGGGACCTACTGCAGCTATTAGACCCCACTGTGGGAGACAGTAAGGGAGTCCCAACAACATGCCTTAGGGAGGCTTGTGGGTGTGCATGCTTCAGTTGCTACCTCTCCTTGCTGTCCCATATGAGGAGTTTGAAGTGCTGTGAAGGCACAGAGGTGAGGCAGCTCCCAGACTGTCTCCATCCTGCACAGAAAGAGGGAATGAGAAGGGCTTCCCACCCAGCCCCTTCCTAAATCTCCAGCACAGAGGTTTGCCTGTGCCTGCCCTTATGGTGGGGAAGAGGGTGTCCGAGTTCCCCAGGGTGACGTTTGGGAAGCGGTGCCTGAAACAACTGTAAGCCCAGGGCTGTATGTGGGCTCCGACCTCCTGCTTTGCACCGCCTCATCGCCCTGGGTATCCTGTGCTGGGGCCTTGCGCCATGGTGGGAACTAACTGGAACAGTTTCCTGGAGTTCCTCTGATCTATATTTTCCATTTTAATAAAGAAAATTATGCAGAAGAACTTGGCACAATGCTGTCACATAAAGAGATTTGGCTGAGAAGTTGTATTAATGTGTCTTAGTATTTGAAAGCCACATTGAGCAGTGTGCTTGAAACCTCAGACTTGGAAAAAATATGAAAATTGAAGTATATTATTTAATTTGGTAAAAATGATAGTTTGTATTGAAACACCTTTTAGTGGAACAAAACACTGTTCATACGTAATTTCCAGTGGTCACAGGTAGCTCAGGAGCTTCAATTTAGTGTAGTAAAGACATTTTACCTCTAATAAATGGCTTCAGAGAGGCTGATTCCACTGCTTCAAATCATGAGTGTGTTCAGTGTAAAAAGTTTAGTACTAAACAGTGTTAAAGACAGCTATGGCTGCATGATACCAATAAACCTCAGGCATGAGGGTGCTGTAGTGCTGAGAGATGCTGAAGCACACAACCCTGCTGTGTAAATACTCAGTGTGGTCTCATGTGTTCCTTTAAAGAGCAAATGTGTTTAAAGCTGACTGAAACATTTCTAGGAAAATATTTTTTCAGCAAAAAATTGAATGTTGGCAACAAATTATTCATGGAAGGTGACTGCTTGTCATAACACAAAAAAATACTGTTGGGAAAAAAAAAAAAAGAAAAGAAGGAATATATTAATCAAAATTGTTGGGTTTAGTTTTTCTTTTAAAATTTCAGCTTTGAGAACATGAAAATCCATCTTCATATTAACTAAGTACCCACAATAGAGTTCTGTTATGTAATATATATACTCTTCATCTGTAAGGTGCAAGAATCCATTGATTCAACATAAACACTTCAGTTATAGGCCCAGGAGCCTCTGTGTTGTGCTTATGAGAATTGTTACATAGAGGAGAGGTGGTGATAGAAATAAGAAGGTATAATTTTGGCAGAGAAGATGCTAGCTGCGGCAAGTTCAAGTGGTTAAATTTATGCCTTGGTTTTATTTAGTTGGACTCATGCATGTTTAGTCTTGGTGGCATCGTAGATGAGACAGATTTCCTTGTAACAATATTATACATGCAGAAAGAAATCAGTTGTGGATTTTCTTCAGATTGTGCTTTGCATCAGAAATCTGTTGACGATCTCTGACTGAATCATGGGAAGTGTGTAGAGGACTGTATGGAAGACAGCAGAGGAAGAAATACAGCGAGTATTTCTTTGTGGGGAAAGTGGAGTACTACAGAGCAGAGTTAAGAAGAATGAACTAAATGAAGGACACTGTTTATTACAAGCTGATCTTACAACATCTTAAACTAGCAGTCTGGTTCTTCAATGTAAATACTGTCCAGATTTCCATGTTTGAAAATGAAACTTTATATCCTTTCACTAAAAATGAAAATTAGTACGGGCCAGCTATGCAACATCTAAGGATTTAGGGTTATGTCTCAGATTTTTCAAAAACAGTTCTGCAGCCAAGTTTCTGATGCCCATGGAAAATTTTTTGTGAATTTCTGAAGTAGTCTGTATGAGCCCTTATAAGGCTAAATACCTTTTCAACTGTGGTTCTGTGTGACAGTTTTTAAGGAAATAAAAATATAAGCTATAAAAACTTGTTTACTTTTAATTACTTTTTAAAAATATAGCTAATTATTTCAGAATAGTCTTAGTGTTATATTGCTTTAACATTCTTCAGAATAGTAAGCATTATATAGCACTATGACATCTATAAATGTTTTTTTTTATAACTTTTAAAATATTTTTTATCAGGCTATGTCCGAAACAGTATGTTTTGGACCATATCTTGGTCTTTTTGTAGTTGATGAGTCCAGGCATAAATAACCAGGAAGTTTCTGTTTGTGAACCAGTAAATGGTTCCTCTATAACACTGACAATGGGAAGGGACTTACATGTGACAGAAAGCTTAATGTGGACTGTTTCCAAATGAGATATGACATAGCACTATTCACAGTTGCTGTATGTTCAGATACCTTTCAAAGTTGAAGTAATGGCAGTTTGTTTTCAAATGTTTTACAGTTGAAGATAACAGCTTGTCTCAGAAGAAGAAGATAACAGTGGAAGATCTCTTCGGTGATGATTTCAAAATTCATGACCCAGAGGCTAAATGGATAACTGGTGAGTGAGGCATGAATGTGTTGCAGTGTCTTTTCTTTGCTTCCTTGCTCTCTGGGCATCTCTTTTTTATTTCCTTCTTTATTTTTCCCATTCTTTATTTTGCTCCTGAAATTACAGAGTCAGAGTGGGTGGGGTTGGAAAGGACCTCAGGAGATCATCTTGTCCAACTTCTGCTCAAGCGAGGAGCACTAGAGCTGGTTGCCCAGAACCATGCCCAAAAATTCAATCCTCAAATTCCTATTCCAGCTTTTCTCCTGATAAATATGCAAACATCACTGCTCTGTCATTATAATTTTTTTATTTAGGGCTCTCCAGTGGGCTCCGCTATGCATTGAAAACTACAGCCTTTGGCCCAAATAGCTTCCAGCATTCTGTAGGTTATGTGGCGCATGGTTGGAGGAAGTGGTTGGAGCACTATCAGTCATTAATTTAATACAAAATAAAATAAAAAAAAATGTTTAAAAACTTCAGGATTATATTACCTTATCAAAACTTTTTTTTTTTTTTTTCCCAGCAGAGATGTGAAGCGTTGCTAAGCAACAGGCAAACAGTGGTCCAGCAGCAGCTGGGCTGCTCCTTGCACACAGGCCATGTGCTCTTTTTATCCTCTGCTGCCTTCTATTTTCTAGTCAGGGGAAAACCAAATAATACTTGAATTAATGCATGTAGTATTTGCTAGAATAGAGCTGTTTTGGGGCATGTAGATTCCAGCTTTCACTGGAAATTGCTGCAGTCTGAACAAGCTTTGGCAAAAATAAAATGATTTGTGTTATACCATTCATGTAGGTTCCAGTCCAGCTCCTGTTACCACTGAAGTTATTAGTTTTTCTTTTTAATTTAATGGGGAACTGGATTGCATTCTTCCTTGTGTTTGGCTTTCCTTGTCTGTTATGCCCATTGGGAATAATTTTAATACCTGTAATGAAAAGGGTAGTTCTGAATTAACATGTTCCCCAGCCACCCTCAGCACAGCTGCCTCCGACTTCTCCCACCATCTCAACTACAGGGAAAAGCAATTGTGGATGATAAGCACCTTCACAAGCACACCTGCCGATGGGCAGGTCCTCTCTTTCAGGTTGTATAATCTGCGACAATGGTGCTCCCCATAACCACTTTCTAGGAGTAATGATAATGGAAATATTAGCTGCACTGCAGTTCAGAATTATTTGTCTAGTATCCTTTTTTTTTAACACTGATATGCCTAATGAAGGAAGAGGTGTTTTATTGAAACCATTACTGCTATTTTTTTTATTTGCTAGAGTACAAGGGAATGATAATGAATTAAATAAACCTTTGCAGGAACAAAGAATGATTTCCACGGAGCTATGTATAACAAGCCCCCTCTGATGAGTATAGCTTTACAGGGATATAAGGCATATTTTCCACAAAACTTTAGTCTTCTATGAAAGAACAGTATTTCTCATGCTTTTCCCATTGTGATCACATACTGATGCTTTATACACTCTTATTAAGACTCCAATCTTGACATATTTTAAACTCCATCTCCCTACTCTATGTACTTTCACTGACTCCAGCACAATTTAACGTCAGTCTTACCTTATCTGAAACTGCTAAAATTTTGTTTCTGTACAGGACAAAGCACAAAGTAGTATTGTGCAAACATGCATAGATATTTTAGAAGGACTTGTTCTGTTACTGTGCTACTAATATCACTGATATTGGTTTTAATATGTCTAGAGTAATTTTATGAAGCCAATAGATATTCTGTAGATTTACCCAAGGTTGACTTCACATTTAAGGGTAAGATGCTAATCTTCAATGTCATTCATCCAAGGACGCAAAGCCATTTTACAACATGAATTACTTTTCTGCATTATAGTTGCTTTTCACAGCTTTCTCTAGCTGACTAAGTGGTTAAATCTTGATTAAGGTCCCTGATAAGCAAGATGAAAGACCAGTAGCCTGATATCCCAAGCACACATTCCTATTGGTCTCTTAGCCTCAGATTTTAAAATGCAAATTAAAGACTCTGAAAATGGCTAAGCCAAACTAATAAAACTTAGTATAACAAGAGTGATGGAATGCCTTAGCAGAAACATTACATATTTTAAAGTTGCATGTTTAACATTGTGTATCGACTCACCAAATGAGTTGATGTTTTGTAGAGAATTTGCACATTATTAAAATAGAGGTAGCTGCTGTGTATCCCTCTTCCCCTTCTTCTGCAATTAATTATATAGCAAAATATCATGGTCATTCAGAGATCTGCAAAAATCAGTCCTCTCAACTCTTCAAAGCTCTGTTTCCTTCCTTTCCCTATTGTTATTGCAGAAGATGGGAGTTTGGTAGGCTCACCAAATGAAGCGTGTTGCATGTTTAGGTGTATATGAATCATGTGAGGGATTTGCTTCCGAAATAGTTCAGTCAGTAAAATATCTGTGTTCTTCCCAGTAAGGGAGGGGCTGATTCAAACTCTCTGAAGGAGCAAGGTCTTTCCTTTGATTTAATTAAGTCTTAGAACAAATGTTAAAATAAAAATTTTAAAAGTATTTATATTCAGAATTGCACTTAAAACTATGATGAAAGCTCACTGAAATTGATGGAACGAGCTGATGTTTAAGAATTTTCTTGATTTGCAGTGGGCAAGTGGAAAAAATAATGTATTTATGATGAATAGCTCTGTCATTTCATTGACTTCAAAGGAGCTAGGGTAAAAGGGGAAAAAAAAAAAAAAAAACAACAGAGAGAACCAGTCTCAAAAGCTGACATAACTACATTTCCAGTACAAAGACTACAAGCTTTTCTAAGTTTTCACTCACAACTTGTGGCTGGTTTGTGGATATGCCTGCATCTTTTTTTATAGGAATTGCAATTAATTTTACTTAAGTGAAAGATGTGTCAAAGATTGAACTTTGAACCTCTTGGAATTTCTGTGATGCCACCTGTAATTTCAAATTCCAGTTTGCATTTTTATCTAGCAGTTTAGGGAGAGGAAAGAATATTTTGTTTAATTAACTGCTGCTTTCAGTGTCTTCTGCTGCCCCAACTTTTATTGATTCAGTTAAGAGCACTCTAGGGGGGAGTGACACATTCATAGACCATAACTGACTGCTCCAGAACTTATTTCTAGTTCCACTTCCAGGAACTGCTATTGCTTACTTTTGTCCTGTAGCATAAATAAGCACTGGATTTATTGTGAAGTTTTCACTCTTCAGGACAACGTAGTATATAGAAGTATAGTATAGTATAGTAGGAATATAGCAATATAGTATAGGAAATTTTAGATTGTGATGGTGATCAAATGACATCCCCCTACCCTGCAGTTCAAGTGCAAAGAATCTGAATTGCGTCCCTGTTGCAGCCCCATCCATCCCGTGCCTCCTCCTGCGCTTGGCTGCTCATCGCTCCGCGCATCGCACCCCACGTCGCTCTGTTACCATCCTCTGTTGTGAACTTACCTTTCCTCTACAACTATAATTATGTTGTCCATATGCTAAGCATGCATATGAGCTCCAATTAGCAGCTCATTTCATACTGTGTATCTTAAATGTTGTATTTGGACATTTCCTCATTTGCATATCCTCCTCCATACACCATCAGCAGTGTCCTGTGCCGTCCTTTTGTTAGTCCTCTCGCAGATGACAGATGGCCCACTCGTTAGTCAAGTCTCTAACTGCTTAACAGGTCTGCTCTCAAGCTCCACATTACTTTGTAATTAGGCTTCACAGTTACTGGGCTTTTCCTGTAATTCCTCTCACACAGGATTTTAGCTCAGGTTTCTGAAAAGCTCATCAGGATGCTGCAATGTTCTCGTAATGGTAGGCAAAACCCAGGATAAAGAAAGGTACTGGCATTTCATGCTGAAGACAGCTCAGTCATCTGATTTCTCCTGAAAACAATAATTTGTAGTCATTACCTGGACCTGGCCGGAGAAGCCGGTCGGGTTTTGAGTGCTGTCTTTGTGGCCCTGTGGAGCTGCAGTGATTCCCATCAGCTGTGAATCTGAGCCCCAATATCTCAAGAGCACTCCTCATTTTTCACAGGGAGGCAGCATCGTGCCCAACGTCAAAGTATGGAGTAGAGACTGAATCATATACCCCAGTTGCAGAGACTTATGCTTATCTTCTGTCTTTCTACTTAATGGCAAATCCATTTTGCCCACATTAAAAGTACTTGGCTGCTGTTGTAATTAGAAAAACATAATAGCAGCCTATAATGTACGGCCCATGCTTATTGTGATTGATTGGATGCAACGTGCCATCATTAGTTACTTCTTGGAGGATGTTTTTCCAGCCTTGCTGTTGGCATCTTGCAAGACAGAGTGTATGTAGCAGTGGCTGCTGCCAGGCTTTTTGGCTGTGTGTTAGTGACTGGAGGCTCCAACTAGGAGTGCATCTTCTTTGTGCTAGACACTGGCCAGACACAGCGAGACAGTCCTTGCGGAGAGGTTGTAGCCAAATGAGAAGAATAAAGGTTGAAAGGAAGAGCACAATATATTCAAGCAGCGAGGGGCACTGAGGCACAGGATACCAAAGGACGCGTTTTGAGGTCATAGGAAGTTGACTTTAAAAAATTCTAAAATCAAGTCCTGCTCTCCAAGGTCCCTGCCCACTTGCTTTACCTGCAACACTGGCAAAATAGTATTTATTCTTGTCTGAAGAGGAATAGTGGGTAAATTAGCAAAAGGCTCTGAATGACATTTTCTGAAATTGCTCAGTTATTTGGAAACCTGCCACTCAGTGAGAGCTAGAATCACCGTGTGCCTAGATCACATCTGAGAATGGCAGCCAGGCTTTTATCTCAAAAGTCCTTCTGAAAAATGCACTCATAACTAAATCTAAATATAATAGAGTAATTCTTTTATCTTTAATACTGAAGCACATATGTTTTGTTGTATGTTTTACTAATAGCATCATAGAATCTCTAGGCTCTTTTAAAGTCTAATATTGAATTTAATGACCTAGAACTAATAAGTTTTATTTACCATGCTGAAAAAAATCATCCTGTAGTAACTGAGGTAATTTATTTCAGTTTACCTT